AGAAGTGATGACAAGAAGTAGAAAGCCGTCCAAACGAGACAATAAGCGAATTCCTGTGTTCGACACAAATAACACAAAAATTAATTTAACAAAAGTTTGGCTGAAGTTGTTGTTCAATAAAAAAGAGGAAATTGCAATCAATTATGAATTAATTTATGAAATCATAGTTTGAAGAGACTGTGTCTAAGTTTATAGACATAATACATACCACCAAAAGCCAGGGCCAGAAGTGGAGTTTCTCGACCACATGGAAGCAATAGAGGGCCAGAAGTATGAGAGATAACCAGAAGGCCATCATTGATGTGAAACTGAAGAACCCGACTCTTCCGGAGTGGGTGTCACCGAACTGACCGATTATGAAGGCTATCAGATCTATTCCCTGAAGATATCAATGATATTAATACACAACTCATGCACACAATGAGATGACGTGAACTGACAATAGCGGAGGCCTTCAGGAGTCCGGGAACTGTTTGGACATAAGACTTGTCAAACCATATTAAAGGCGTAACTTTGGTCGTGGTTGAAGTGGTGTGAGAGGTCGGGAAACCACCTTGGTTAGCCATCATGCGCGATTTATTTCTGTAATTCACACAAACCAATCAAATTGATATCAAATTAAATATATTGCCAAAACTAAACATAACTGAAACACACTAAACTTAATTAATTGTGTAGCTAGCATAAAACTTAAATAATTGTGTAGCTAGCCCAAAAGTGACTCAATTGTTTGCATAAGTTTTGACAATACGTTTATGGGGTTATTTATAGCTGAAAAAATAACGGACAAAATGTATAGACAATGAGTAAATAATTACCGGATGTGTGAGACAATGGATGCAATGAATGGTTAGCGATGGACTGGATGTGTCTGGATGTGTTGGACAGTGAATGCAACGTAAGCCTCAATTCAAATCAAAACAAAACTCCTTTTGACACAACACTCAACACAACCAGTGATCCCACTGTACGCTCGCATTCACACACTTCTACCCTATGCTATGCTATCGTTCACTCCATTCACTGATTTACTCATTCCTACAATAATAACAATAATCATAAATTCATTTCCATTTGTTGTGTGAACTATATTTGATAACATATTTTTGAAACTCAACTTTAATTCATTTAAAAATTGTATTTTAAAGTAATATAGGCTCAAGAATATAAATAGGCATTTATAATATTGTTATTTATGAAAGACATATTTCTCTAATATACATTTTGAAAATGTGCATGCTAAGTTATTGCTCAATTCCTAATGTTATGCAATTTGTTTTGCAATTAATCAGCTATTAATGGTTGTGTCGAAATTGGTTTAATGTACAATAAGTGTATTGTTTTCAAAGCATTTATTATTTTATTGTTTATAAATAGTTTATTTAAAATTAAACAATTTCATGATTAGAGTTAGGATTTGTGCCAAAAATAGATTAGATTATAGACGAAGACAAACATAAGACAAAGATTACGGTCATCGGAGACAACTGTATCACAGATTATCTGTTTATGTCGTATGACTGATAAAAAGCAACAAAAGTGAAAGTTTTCATGAGATATAGCTTTCATATGAATTATAAATTGCAACAAATGGTTAACATATGATATATTTGTCTCTCGAGTCCATTATATGTGAGTTTAATGTCTAATAATTGTGACGACGAGTTGCTTCCCATCCTATCGGTGGGCAATGAGACAGAAGGGCCGTCAGTCTCCACAAGACTCTCAACAAGTGATGAGATTACTGTTGAAACTGTGAACAGAGGCAGTAGTGGACAGTCGTCTCAGACTACATGTTCGGCCGCTATATTCCTGACGGTCAACGCAACCCTTGGCGCCGGACTTCTTAATATTCCGCACGCTTTCAACGATTCCGGAGGAATATTCTGTTCACTCATTGTTCAAACTGTAAGTAAACAAGAGTTTTATAAAATTCCTAAAGTTTTAAAGAAAAGACAATTAATTGTAATTTCGTGACAAATATTTGCATAGGTTTTCGTGATTTTAATAATCGGTTCGCTATTACTGCTGACGTATTGCACAGACATATCAAACGCCACGTCCTTCCAAGAAGTGGTGTTTGCCTTTTGCGGCCCAAAGAGTCAACATTTGTGTTCATTGGCTATTATCCTGTATTCTTACGGCTCTTGTATTACATTTGTTATTATAATTGGCGATCAATTCGACAGAAGTAATGATCACTAACTGGCGCTAAACTCATCAAAAACTAAATGCCATTAATTTCTTATTGATTAGTCTTCCTCTCCCTCTATGGCCCTAATTTCACTGATTTATGGTATATGAGGCGTAGCTTCACAATGACGGCTACCTGTGCTCTACTCGTCACTCCACTGTCTTTCTCCAAGAGAATCTCATTCCTGAAGAACGCCAGGTGTGACTCAATTAGCTATTTATTGATATAAAGTTTTTATTAATAATTAAATTAATTTCTTGCTTTCAGTTTTCTGGGATTTTGTACCACTTTTTACTTATTATTTTTAGTTGTCTTTCAATATTTCAAATATGAATCTCAAAATGTTTGGGTTAAGACTGAACCCGACACTTGGACTGAAGTATTTTATATCGCACCTGTGCTTTGCTTTGCATATCAGGTTCGGTTCATTGCACTTAATAAACACTTTTTAAATGTCATTAATTTGAAAACAATTATAATTGTCTGTGTTTAGTGTCAATTAAGTTGGATTCCCACCTACACTGGAATGAAGTACAGGAGCGGTTCCACTAGAATTACGCTGACAATCATTATCTCGATAGTGATTTGCTACCTCTCCTACACCCTCACAGCTATCTTCGGATTAATTACATTCGGTTCCGATTATATAGAAAATGATTTGATGTCCAACTATGACGCCAACCATTTGTTTGTATTGTTTGCAATCATCATATTAATTGCAAAGACTATAACTGTGTATCCGTTACTACTATTTTGCGGACGAGTAGCTGCCGAAGACTTTATACAAATAATGGGCCGAATGTTTTGCTCAAGTGTTGCCATTTGTGATAACGCTTCCCGTTATGAGCCCTTACGAAGAGCTCTCATTGTATTGATTTGGATTTTCACAACCATTTTAATAGCCATTTATGTGCCTAACATAACAATAGCCATACAATTCTTGGGATCATTCGCCACACTCTTTGTGTTCATATTTCCCGGACTGTGTTTTCTAAACGCGATTCTCATAAAAGACAAGAATTTGCATTTACTTAAATACAGAATTTATATTTTTATTGCATCTCTTTATATAGTTTTAGGCGTTTTCATATTCGGACTCACATTAACTCAAACTATAAACAAATATTTATTTAAATTATAAAAACCCAAAAGATGGATAAAATTCATGGAAATAATGATCATGTTTTCTAAAAAGAGTACAAATATTTTGATAAACAAAAGTGTATATATATTTTACTGAAATAAATTGAGTGAATAATTCATTTAATATTAATATATGCTTTAACTTATTAATTGATAATTTATACAAACACTAGTAAAACTTGACGTAATTATAGTTAATAATAGACTAAATATAATAAATCTGTTCAAATACAATGATTTATGGATAGACTCTATTAACTGGTGTTACTTCCGGGCGTCCCGTAATCAATAGGCGATGCGTTGCTCTCATTGGGAGAGACCGAAGAGCTCACAGAACCGGCACTATTGCCGCCAATTCGCGCCACATTGAAGAGATCGCACGCCGAGGGAAGGGGTGCCAAACCAGTCACGGATGGCAATCGACTCAAATCCGGCAGATTCTGGAGATGAGATTTGAGTTCATTCCTCACGTGAACTACTTTTCGCAGTTTCTCTTTGTATTCATTGAGTTTCTGTTCGGCCACTGAGAGCGCGTGCCTCTGGTTTTGGGTGTAGTTCTTGAGTAATTGCGATATTTGTTTCCTGTCATCCAGTTCGCGGGACAGACGGGTGTTATAGTCGGCCAGCAGAGAGCGCGCCTCATCCACCAGTTTAGTCAGCCGTTCGGCCGCTCCCTTATCGCGGATTTTGTCCAACAGAGTCGCGTCAAACACTTCGGTCGGAAGGCTTGCGATCTTCTGGCGAACGCCCGCATCAGCCGACGCAGAGTTTTCCAACTCTTGCAACGCCTTAATCAGGGCCTCGGCGTCCACTGCCGGTCCGCTGCTCACGACTGCCGGCGTCGTCGCCTTCTTCTCAATACTTTCAACAAATTTCACCACTTTTGGCTTATGAGGAGACAATGAGTTCTTCAACTCAACTGTTGATCGCTTTTTGGATGGATTCGAGTCTTTCGAGTTCTCGAGGGAACGCTTTTTCGACTCTTTCTTATCACTCGTTTGTTTCGTCTCTTTCGGACCCTTTTGGACATCTTTTTTGTTGTTGTGATCCAAACGCTGTTTGGCGTCCTTTTCCTTGTGATCGCTTTGCTTTGCGTTCACGTCATTAGCTTTGGACGAATTGTTCACTTCTTTGACTGGTTGTTGACTTTTCCTCAAAATGAGTGAAGCCTTGAATGAGTTGATGTCATTCCCGTCGTATATACCTCTGGTCTCCCAAATGGACAAAATCCTCTCGAGTGCGGCCAATGTCTTGTCGTCAGAGTCTCTATAATGAGTGCAAAACAAACCAATGATACTAAAAGTAAGAGACGAGAGACCAGTGAAGGCCTCTGAGAGCACATCACATACTTGGCCACAGACTCGAAGGATGTCTTGAGAACCCCTCCGAACTCCTTCGAGAATTCCGGACCTTTTTTACGGCTGTTTTGGATAAAAAAAATTCAAACAACTCATGAGGAATGCATGAAATTGATTGCAAACCTGTTTTGGATGATATCGTTCGCCAAATACATGAAAGTCAGTCTTCGGGCCGGTTTTGCTGTCAACCAGAGATCAGCCATTAATACATGCAATCGAGACATTGGCAAGCGATTGACGACCACATGAGGTGGTAATCAATGGATACAAACCTTTCTTGAGTTCTGCAAACCAGGTCTGAACGATAGTCTTGTGGTGTTTGCGGTGATGGATGAGCCATAAGGACAGGGTTTGTATGGATTGTTGAGAATTGTTTAAATCAATTAACTTCTTCTCCAACGCCTGGGACGTGAAGCCCGACATTATGTCGACACAAATAACCGCTGATATCACACACAATGCACTCTTCTGGTGTCACCCAAGCTGATCCGCAAATCAAATGTAAATAATGGGCTTTTTAATGAAAACAAACCAATAATTCATTTGTCTTTGGCTTCAGACCAATGATTTCGCATTGAATTGTCGTTTAGTGAGGAGTGTGTCATAAATTGTATCACAAATTGGTTTATAATTGACACAAAAGTTAATTTCAAATTAAAAACTAATTATGAAATGAAAGCAATAATTAAATCCATAATTAAATCCATTTTTGTTTGTATTTCACGTTTCAGTCACTCTTTGCTCTCCATTTGACACGTTATTTATGAATGCATTGAAAATGTGCTCAAAAGGTGTGAAACAATGCAATCACTGAACGACTGATTGAAGCAAACATTGCATTCAAAAAACCAAAGATATCTTAGTGTAGGACAGGGTTTGTATGGATTGTTGAGAATTGTTTAAATCAATTAACTTCTTCTCCAACGCCTGGGACGTGAAGCCCGACATTATGTCGACACAAATAACCGCTGATATCACACACAATGCACTCTTCCGGTGTCACCCAAACTGATCCGCAAATCAAATGTAAATAATGGGCTTTTTAATGAAAACAAACCAATAATTCATTTGTCTTTGGCTTCAGACCAATGATTTCGCATTGAATTGTCGTTTAGTGAGGAGTTTGTCATAAATTGTATCACAAATTGGTTTATAATTCACACAAAAATTAATTTCAAATTAAAAACTAATTATAAAATTAAAGCAATAATTAAATCCATTTTTGTTTGTATTTCTCGTTTCAGTCACTCTGTGCTCTCCATTTGACACGTTATTTATGAATGCATTGAAAATGTGCTCAAAAGGTGTGAAACAATGCAATCACTGAACGACTGATTGAAGCAAACATTGCATTCAAAAAACCAAAGATATCTTAGTGTCGGTGATATCGCCATCAGTTGTGTCCACACAATCTCCTCCGCAGTCATGTCTGTACCGCAACGTAACTCCGGGACAACGGGTTGGCCTAAAGGACAGACACCCACTCAGTATTCCGGCAAATACTTGACGTCTAACAGCATTCTGTCGGTGACTGTCAACCGGACCATCAATTTGTAAGTGTCGGACATCACTCGACCGCTGATGACAACCCTGTCTGTCACTGTCTGACTGTCACTTAGGTATCCGCTGACGAACTACACGTTCGGAACAAAGGACGCGCTCTTCGAGAAGGACCCGTCAGTTCCGGCGAGGTTTCAGAGGATGAGAGACGAGTTCGAGAAGATTGGGCAGAGAAGGAGTGTTGAGGGCGTCCTTCTGGTCCACGAACACAAACTGCCGCACGTTTTGCTGCTTCAGTTGGGAACCACTTTCTTCAAACTGCCCGGCGGTGAGCTCAACGCTGGCGAGGACGAGTTGGACGGACTCAAGCGACTCATGACTGAAGTACTGCCTTACCATCCATTGACACACACTTACCATCCATTACACACTTACCATCCATTGATACACACACTTACCATCCATTGACACACACTTACCATCCATTGATACACACACTCACTCATTGTCTCTCTCGTTGTGCAGACTCTGGGCCGTCAGGACGGCGTTGTGCAGGAGTGGGACATCGAGGACACAGTGGGCAACTGGTGGAGGCCTAACTTCGAGCCCCCGCAGTACCCCTATGTTCCTCCGCATATCACGAAACCTAAAGAACATAAGCGACTCTTTTTGGTTCAGTTGCCGGAGAAGGCGTTGTTTGCTGTGCCCAAGAACTACAAACTGGTGGCCGCGCCGTTGTTCGAGTTGTACGACAACGCCCAGGGATACGGACCCATCATCTCCAGTCTGCCGCAGGCTTTGAGTCGTTTTAACTTTATTTATATGTGAATACATCGCTACACATGTCCTATACATACAGACCTATCATTCATTTATTAATTGATTAAACATTAAAGCAATTGCTTAATAATTTTTGTATCATTTCTTATACTTTCCAAACATTTATTTAATGCCATTTCTCATGAATTGCTTTGTTTTCAAGCAATTCATTACATTATACGGTACAGTATTTTCAATATTTGCCATTTACTAATCAAATGATTGAAAATATTGGAGTTTTTAAAATCACTTTAAATTGTAATAAAATCAATGATTAATTTTACTAATTTTTTGTACAGAATCTCAAGTTTCAACAAAGTTTTGTCTATAATTTTTAAATTATAAAATGTTTAATAATTTAATAAAACTATTGAATTTTATAATGAAAAACATTTACAATTTACCAAAAGATCGATAAAGTAATTGATTTCACACTAAATAATAGCAAAAGTGAACGATTAACCCAATGATAACCAGAGTTTGTGGC